CTTTGCTTTAGTGTAAATGCTGACCATTTGGTCTCATCTAGATGATTTTTAAAGAAGCATAGTACTCATGGGTGATAATCTGTATTTAATGAGTCCCTCTGTTATTTAACTGAAAGGTCACCTCCAGGTATGGTTTCAGTACAAAGTTTAAAAGGTAGCTCAAGGCAATAGTCTCAGAGGGTTCCTATAGTCCAGTAAGTCTGACCTTTTTTTTTAAGAATTTGAGTTTTGTTCTAGCTCAGTTCTACTTTGACAAACATGGGGTTGCCATGAGTTGGCATTGACTCAGTCGCAACTGGTTTCGGGTGATGGTGTCACACACAATTTAGATAGGAGGACATCTCATGGGTCTCCTTTCCTGGCCTTTAAAATATACTTCACATGTTGGGAACCCAGACTGTGGGTGTTTGTATTTATGTGCCCTGAGGAATCTGCTGGCGATTCCATGATAGTTCATGATATCACAGATAAAGTCCTCAGGACCTGAGAGCAGGGTGGGTGAGCTTTTCAGAATTACCTTCACAGCTTCCCTTGCTGTTCCTTCTCCAGCCGTGGCAGCAGGCCAGTTTAGTTCCATAGTGACAGACCCCAGGATGGCCTGCCCATGCTGACAGCCCGTGATTCCTTGGAGTGGGGATAAAGAACCAGATGTTAGTATGGAGAAAGGAGAAAGGACAACAGAGACTCTTCCCTGCTCCTCAACAAACTGGAGAGATGACAGTCACCCACTTAGTTTCAACAAACACCGTAAGTGCTTCCCCACTAACTGGTTTTGCCCATTTCCTTCTTCACTTCCTAGGATTAGAAGAATAGGGTCATTTAATCCAGTCTTAGATTGAAAATCGGTCCCAGAGGAAATACATCCAGAAGTCCCCTTAGAAGTGAGGCTGATGAGAGTTTGGCACTTCCTTTGGATACATCATCAGGAAAGACCAATTGCTAGTAAAGGACATCATGGCTGATAAAATGGAGGGTCAGTGAAAACAAGGGACCCAATGAGATGGACTGACACAATGGCTTCAACAATAGACTCTAATGTACCAATGATCATGAGGATGGCACAGGATCAAGTAACGTTTCATTCTGTTATGCAGAAGGTCACCACGAGGTGGAGCCGACCTGACTG